ACTCTAAAAATAAAACTGATGTTAATGAATTGGTTAATTATTATATTCAAACATAAAATACAAAAACATGAATGTTTTTGGTGTTTAGCTTAAGCTTGATCAGTATAATAATATGCTTATCTAAGAAATAAACTATATTTAATTTCTTTCCAAGGTGAATGACTAGAAGTCTCCCATAACTTCAATTATTCTCTCCTTAATGGAATCAACTGAGAAATTAAATTGAGCTTTCTAAAAGTTTGAATTTTATTTCACTGGCAATAAAAAAAAAATTAAGGTAGAAAGTTACAAGCAAGAGTATAAGAAGTAAAAGGAAGAAAAATAATTTTATGAAGATTATTTTGAGAGACATTAAAAATTTCTTGAAGCTGGGCATAGTGGCATGAGCCTGTAATCCCAGCTACTCAGGAGGCTGAGGTAGAAGGATTGCTTCAGCCCAGGAGTTCAAGTCTAGCCTGGGCAACATAACAAGAGTTTATCTCAAAAAAAAAAAAAAATTCTGGAGAAGAATGTTTATTCTGGAAAAAGAAAAAAAAATTCTCAAAACAATTTTCTTTGCTATTCTGAACTTTCATCAACATGACAGTATCCAAGGCAAAACCTAAATCATATTTTTACTATGATGAAACAGGATTCCAAGGAAGGACAGCGAAACACTGAGTTGGCAAAAAACATTTCTGTTCTATTAATACTTATTGCAGGCAGAACAACAGCCCCAAAGACATCGACGTGATTAAATTAAGGATTTTGAGATGGGGGATTACCCTGGATTATCCAAGTGGGTCCAATGTACTCATAAGAATTCTTATAAACAAAAGAGGGAGGCAAGAGAGTCACTGTCAGAGTGATAGGATGTGAGAATGACTCAACCAGCCATTGCTGGCTTTGAAGACTGAGGAAGGGGCTGTGAGCAAAGGAAAGTAGGCAGCCTCTGGAAGCTGGAAGAGGCAAGGGAACAGACTCTCCCCTGGAGCTTCCAGAAGGAACACAGCCCTGCAGCACTTTGATTTTAGTCCAGTGAAATTTGTTTTGGACTTCTCACCTACAGAACTGTAAAATAATAAATCTGTGTTGTTTTAAGTCACTAAATATGTGGTATTTTAGAAATTATCTATTAGCAATAACAAACTAATATAATACCCTTACCTAGGATAGGGCCAACCTTGACAAAAAGACAAAAGACCATAATTCAACAAAACAGGAACTAATACTATAATATTATCATTAAATCTTATTTATGCCCCAGCACTTTCCTCATGTTTTTATGAAAGCATTTTAGCATTATGTTCAGTTTTCAACATTTTGCTTACAAAACAGAATCCATCCTCTAAGGAATTGGAAGAAAAATCTATAAATAATCCTATTCTAATTTCGAGAAGAATTTTGAAGGATGGGAATGAACCCCATGCTGCAACATGCTTTTTGTAAATCTGAAACCATGTTTCTCAAATTATTCTCATGTTCCCCTAATTTGTGTGTTCAACTTTGGTGGGGGAAGTTTCAGGAGGGGAAGTTTTACATCATGGATTACAAAAGATTCAGCCAGAAAAGAGCTGGTGCCACAGTACAGGTATGGACTCATCCATGAATTCCCAATCATTTTGGAGTTGTAACATTCTATCACAAAATGATCCTGAATTTTCTTCTTGCCCTAATGCAAGGCATAATTTCTTTTTGGTTATGATAAATTTAAATAAATTTTTTTTTTTTTTTTTT